TCATTTGTACTGATACAATCGCCACTTAATAAGATGTATCATCAAATTAAAATATTTCAACTATCGTGGTATCTCTTAACGCGCCTATCCACTTGATAAGATTATTTTCATTAAGATCGAAATACTCTCGGTATTAGGGTAGCCATGCACACTCATGAAACATATTCAGATAAAATGACTTGAACAAATGTCAACTCCTCTGATAACCAGGGATATTCTTGTCAATAAACGACAACCTGTTCATCTGTTGACTTTTTCGAAAAGTGAACACAACAAAAAAGTGTTCGTATTACTTGATTTTTAATTTTTTTTTGTTTTTGTCAATGATGATATCTTGTTCTTATTAGTATTTTTTCTGTAGGACACGATACTATGGACCATCTTTAACAAAATGACATCGGTCAATACTACATGGATCAATGAATATTGTTCGTTTTTAATTTTTTACTCGTAGAAGTTGTTCGTTTGCAGTAGAACTGTATTAGTATTGAATAGATGATTTAAAAAATACAAGCGTATTTCGGATACTCTATCACATAAGCTTATGTTGATTGGTTTCATTTTGTTTTTAGATAAATTTCAATTAATAGACATTGTTTCCATAGAAGTACGATGACTGACAAGCGATATTCCAATGCTCAAGCTCATTGCTGGAGTCAACTTTCGGCTAGTCAAGTACGCACACCACCCAACATCTTGCATCTTCCGTCCCAACAACAACAACCACAAATAGTGACGACGAAGCAAAAAAAGAAGAAAAGGCGTGGTGATCGAGCAGAACAACATTTTCAACGAAGATTGCGTCAACGAAACTTGGATGAAGAAACAGGGCATTATTAGTGCAAGCAAGAGTTGAAAGAAAACGAGAACAACAACAACAAACTGTGCTTGAAATTGAAATGGAAGTAAACGAAATTGGTAATCAAATGATCAACATGGCACAGGATAAACAAATGATGGTAAGAACATTTATCAGAAGATAAAAACTAATTATATCAATGATTTCTTTTGTTTTCTAATGATTAGGAAATTTCATTAAATGACGTCATTCCTCAATCTAATTTGAAGAAGCGTAAACGCAACGTACCGACTAAAATTGACAGACATTTAAGTAAATCATTGAGTCGATTATCAATTTCACAAGGATGTTCAAAGAAGACGAAGAAAAATGTTGCATCAAACAATATTTTAACAAAAATGATCCATGAACTGAATGGTCAGCCAAAAATATCAACAAAAAATTTAAAGTCTACTTTCGTACCTCAATATTTGACAGTATCCACTCGGAAATTTAAAGAAATGTTATCAAAAGTAGTTCACGATGGCCATCAAATTTATGAGTGGCTAGACAATGATCAAAAGTTAAAATCCACACGTGAATTAGCTCATATCTTTAACTTGATGAATTATTTAACATTACAACAACAACTATGGCAAGATTATTTTGATATCGGTATGATTGATGGTGTTTGGGCCCCACGAGTATCGAAGTCAAAAGCTAAAGAACATAATACATGTGTATCATATGGTCGATCAGAGAAATTTGTTGAACAACGTCAAAAAACAATTCAACATCAATTGAATCGCACTAATCGCCAATTACAACAACATCTCGCTCAATTACCAGAATGGACAGAAAAAGTTCAACCTTCCTTGATTCAACATTTCTCTCAAATGCCATTCAAGCAATGGTAAAAAATGGTCTCTATCGCTTAAATGCTCAATTCAAACATAAACAAGCCATGTTAAAATTCAATGCTGATGATCATCGCTTGATTGCGGCCGTCTATGACTTGAAACCGACTGAAGAACAGGTCTGTGTCTATAGAATAGATTCATTATCTTCAATCGAAATTAATGAAATTGATTGTTTGATATTTTAGTTTGTGCTCCTAAAAATATATTGGCAAGCCATTGGAAATGAACAGAAAGCACTCGAGGAAATGGAAGTACTTCGAAAACGAATGTCATTAAGACGACTTCCTCAATTATTTGATAAAATTCTTGATCAATCCATTGTGTCTATTCAAACAATGCTCTCACGTCCTATTCTTAATAAAGATCGATGTGCTAGTATGGCATCACGTTGTTCAAAAACAATTACACAATATAAATTTGATATGATGGCTATGACCATTCCTATAGCTCAAGATACGGCTCGTGATCATACTCAATTGGCAGACGATGCGAAAAATAAATTACGACTACTCGACGGTGATCAAATACGATCTTCTACTGAGTTACTCATCAACGCCATGGAAACTCGTGCAGAAAATATGAAAAAACGTGCACAAGAATTACTTCAATATAAATTGATGTCTTTTTCCGCGCAGACTCCGGCGGTGGACAACGACGAAGGCAACGCATCCGCCGGAACAATCTAAGCATTTATACAAACATCACTGCCCCATCACCTTTCATCGAAACTGATTTAAATCTATCGCCAATACAAATGTCCATGCTTATCAAAGGTCTTAAATATATTCCACCATGTCAAAGTCGATTCTCACGTCAATCTATTGATGCCATTGTCAATTAACAATACAAGACTTTGTATTCCATTGTTCAAGGTTGCCTTGATGATCATCGTATGCAGCTCGTAGAGTCACGTGAAAAGGAAGGTTTTCCATCCTTGAAACGAATCCTCTATGAACTTCAATCCAAAAAAATACCACGTAAGCTAGGAATTCGTGCTCGACGTGAACGCAAAGTAGTACGAAGTATTATAAAAATTTTACGTCAACGACCCGACATTACTGTTCGTCGAACTGACAAGAGCAAAGTATTTTATGTAGGTAATGCTACAGTTTTTGCCGCGAAAGCATCAAAATATATGATCGAAACAGAAGCTTATCAATAGATCTCGAACGAACATTGTATTTTATCGGAAAATCTTCATTTGGTTACTACTCTTCTAGCTTCTCTTTTAAAAAAGGGTGCTATTAATCATGAGCAACATAAGAACATGTCTCCGAAAACCGATGCACTAGAATTGGCACATCTTCATTTTATCCCAAAACCACATAAAGTAAGTTGCTTATTGTATCATACCAATTTTCGACGATATACATATTATCGTTGCCTTTGAATTCATTTTTATCTCTTTTGTTTCATAGCCTGATACACCATTACGACCGATTGTAGCAGCTATTCATGCACCAGCAACAGAAGTGTCCAAATTTCTTAATGATCTATTAGCCCCTGTATTTCTACGTGTTGCACGAAAGGCCACTTTTATTAATGGTATTGATCTTGTTCGAGCATTAGAAAAATATGTTACCGATGGTCAGTTAAAACCAACGACCTTGTTTATCACTTTTGATGTTGAAAATCTATATACAATGATCCCACGGCAAGGTGCTTTAGAGGCATTAATGCAATTTCTCGAACGACATTTACGCAACAAGAAAATTGGAATATTGCGCATTGATGATATCATGAGAATGGCTCGTCTCGTATTGGATACAAATATTTTTGCCTATGAAAATAAATATTATCGACAAATACGTGGTGGAGCGATGGGATCCGCCTTTACACAAACATTAGCCAATATTTATATGTTAGATTGGGAACAAAAATTAATACAAGATCAAGAAGCCGACAAAGAAATATATGGACGGTTAGTAGAAAATCTTCGCATGATATTTAAAACCATGAATGATGTTTCTATTGTTGTCTTTAGATATATTGATGATGTATTTATGACAACAAACTCAACATTCGATCAAGTTAAAGAAAAATTAGAAAATGCTCATAGAAAAGATCCAAATATCCGAATTTCATATTCCATTCAATCTACCATCGACTTTCTCGATGTCACAGTCAGCAATGATAATGGTCAATTGAAAACAACAATCTTTCATAAACCAGCCGCTGAACCGTATATACTACCTTACACATCCGATCATCCACGACATGTTTATCATAATATACCGTACGCAGCTCTACTGAGAGCAGGAAGAATCTGCTCGAATGTTGAAGATTTTGACATAGAACGCATTCGAATTGATCTATCGTTATTACTCAACGAGTATCCACCTTCATTTGTTTCTAAACATTTTCATCGATTCTTTCAACTCAACCAAGCAATGCCCGTATTAGAACGGCTTGATTCAGAAGTGTACCATGAAATACATCAAAATTTACTGCATACACCAACAAGAAAAGAAAAACAATTAGAAGAGACAACCGAAGATCTTGATGCTTTACCTGAAATGTTACAGAAAAAAAAGCCTTGGGATTCGAATGTCATGTACGCAAAATATAACTTCGAAAGTGGACCAAGATTAGCCTTTCAATCTGAATTCCGCACTTGGTGGAAACAACATTTCGGACATGCAGGCTCTAGTGTCGAACATGTCCAACTAAAGTTTGCCGTCAAAACTAACCATACACTCGAAGATATCTTAGTGCACAAGAAACCTCCAAGACATATGCTGAAACGCAAACCAAATACAACGGAACAACGAACAGCTAATCAAGATAATCCACTCACCCGAAAACTAAAAACAACATGACAACCATGTCGATCATCAAATCCCATCACCATGAAGATATTAAATTTTTACCGATATAAATAAATAAAACTTGCTCGTAACACTTAACATATATTTCTCTTTTTATTCGAAACTTTACCAACCCATGTACAAAACAAAACTATAAAATTTTTTTCCTCCTTTCAGATATGCCTCATTTTCCATGACATCCACAAACGCCAATAGCTAACCTTAAACACAACAGTACAAGAACCATCGGCCCTAAATCCTTCGGCCAAACTATCTTACAAAACAATAACCAGAGAACATAGCAATACCCTAAAATATAAACAAGACCATTTCATTGTCATCCCATCGCATTAACCACACCAAAAAAAAGGCAAAACGCATCGTAAGTATGCTTGGTTTCTAAAAAATTCAATTTTATACACACCTAGTTTTGAATTTTCTGCGATTCCTATTAATTGTTTCACTTTCTCTTCTTTTTGAAAGTTAAAGAATTATTAGTGGTCATTTTTCAAAAATTCTGTTGGAAGTTTGTTGAAAATTTTCTTTTAGAAAGTTTTCATAGTACTTTTACTATTTTGAATTTTGATCGATATGCAGTATATTTAGATTCCGAACTTACCTGAAGACTGGCCCTTAAGCAAGGCTGAAACGCGTCGTAAGTATGCTTGGTTTCTAAAAAATTCAATTCTATACACACC